CTGGCAACCCAGGCATGTGCTCTGACTGGAATCTAACCGTCAACCCTTTGGTTCTCAGGCGGGCGCTCAATCCACTGATCAACACCAGCCAGGGCTGTTTTTTACTTTTTAAAAGATCAAATACCCCACCCTGGTCAGGTGGCTCAATTAGAGCATTGTCCAGTAGACCAAAGGGTTTTGGGTTTGGTCTTCAGTCAGGGCACATACTTAGGCTGCACCCTCGAACCCTGGTCAGGGTGCATACAGGAGGCAACCTACCGATGTTTTTCTCTCACTTTGATGTTTCTCTTTCCCTCTCTCTCTTTCTCTCTCTGCCCTTTTTGTTCTCTCTCTAAAATCAATCAACATATCCCTGGCTGAGGATAATAATAATAATAATAAGACGATGTAGTAGTAGTAGTAGTAGTAGTAGTAGTAGTAGTAGTAGTAGTAAAAAGTCAAATAAAATAAATATTAAAAATAACTCCACTCTCTACCCCTCCTATCCTTTTTTTTCCCCTTTTTTATTGAATTTATTGGGGGTGAGATTGCCTCTTTCTCTGTGGTAACAACTGCTGCTGACCAGTTGGGGGTATATATATATATAGACATCAGATATTTTGTTGGACCCTATAGACATATATATTCATACATGCTTAAAAACAGATGTGAGCCCTGGCCGGCTAGCTCAGTCGGTTAGAGCATCGTATTAATACCCCAACTTTGAAGGTTTCATCTTCATTCAGGGCATGTATAAGAATGAACCAATGAATGCATAAGTGGAACAACAAATTTATATTTCTCTCTCTCTTCTCCCACTCCATTCCTCTCTTTAGAAATCTGTAAATAAAAATTTAGAAAGTGGATGTGATTATTTTATAATACAATCTGAAACTTGGTATTTTAAATTTTTTTATTGAGATGAAATATACTTCCAGAAAAAATGTACATACATAAATGGATAGCTCAATGAATTTTTTGCAAATTGAACTACGTAGGTACAATAACTAGTCTCCAGATCAAGAAACATTACCAAAAAGTCCACAACACGTTACCCTTTTGGAGCCCCTCTTATAAATTTGACCGTGATGCTGCTGAAGCACAGAGTGGCCAAGTACTTACTAGTGGCAGAGTAGGAGCTTCATTATCTGTTCTATCTTGAAAAATAAATTAGGAAGTTATTAATGATTTCAGCTTTGGTGGCTATTAATGAGAACTTGGGTCATTTAAGTGATTTGGACCATTCTTTTGTTATAAAGTTTACCAGGGTAATTATTTATTGAGAACTATTACTATGCATGCCTTACTGTACAAAATTGGGACAAGAGAAGAATAAAGGCAAACATAATACTAGCTCTGAGTTATAGTCTAACTTAGGAAGACAAATTACATTAGACAAATAATTAAGTACCAAGCTGTATAGTAGTGATTCAAAAAAAGGATTCATTGCTGACAGCATCAAAGAAGGCTGCTCCACAGGGGAGGTGGAATTTAAGCTGGACCTTGAAGAATGGGTAGGATTTGAATGGAATGGTGATAACTTCACAAGTCATGGCAAGAAAGTAGAAATGGATGAACATGATACGCAGATAATGAGCAAGCAGAACAGCCTCTCTGGTGTGGGGAAAAATTGCTGAGGAAAGGTAGGGAGTTAAGTTTGATGACATTTGCCAGTGCCAGGTTATAGACCATATATAACAGCCACGGAGTGGAAACTTGGCTGGACGACGGAGGTACCATCAAGGCATAATATGGCTTAGTGGATAGGAGTATTAGATTTGGAGCCAAAAAACTCAAGTTCTCATACCGACTTTTCCACTTACCAGCTGTGTGACCTAGAGCAGATAATTCAACCTCTCTGGACCTTGGTTTCTTTATCTGTAAAATGGGGGGAATTTCTATTTTATAGGTTTATTATGGTGATAAAATAATAAACTGTGTGTGTGTTGACACAGGGCTTTGTACCTAGTTAATGTGCAATAAATTGAACTGTTTTTGTAGTTCTTAAGAGCAATGGATGAAAGCAGTGGTATGTCGAATAACAAAGACTGGAAATAAGTTATAGTTGCCCCCACAGACATATGGTAAGGATCTCTTTTAGGGTAGTGGTAGTAATATAGAAAGAGTACATTTGAGGGACATGAAAAGAAATTGGACTTAAATTCCTGTTCAGAAGGAAATGTTTTGGGTGTTCTTGTGATCTTTTCTTTTAAAAATCTTTATTTATTGATTGGAGAGAGAGAAAAGAGTTGTTTTGTTGTTCCCCTTATGTATGCATTCATTGGTTAATTCTTGTATGTGCTCTGACCTAGGAAACAGCTTCCAACCTTGGCATATCTGAACAACACTCGTACCAACTGAGCTACTAGGCCAGAGCTGTGATTTTTTTTTTCTTAAGCAGTTGTAATTCCTCTGTGGTTTCTTGGATGGTATAGATACTTTTGGCAAGATATATTTGACTTTTTAATTTCAGTTAAGGTATTTGAAAACCCTTAAGAGATTCTAATTTATATTTCAAAAGAGGATATTTGAAGTTTTGTCTGAATTATCCAGTTGTCAACAACATTTGTTACAGTAATGGCAAAACAAGTATGTTTGTTTAATTTTTATTTATTGATTTTTAGAGACAGGAGGGGAGGGATGGGGAGAAACATCAATTTGTTTTTCCACTTATTTATGCATTCATTTTTATGTGCCCTAACTTGGAATTGAACCCCCAACCTTGGTGTATCAGGATGATGCTCCAACCACCTGAGCTACTAAACTAGAGCTCTTGTTTGTTTTTGATGTCTTGGAGAATTGACACATGAGTGATCCTGGAGGATTTTAATCCTTAAAGAAAAAAATATCTTTATCAAGAAGGCTAGAGTTTGAGGGAAAGTACTGCCTCAGAGGTTTCCTTAGCTGTGGTCACATTGCTCAGTTAGTTAGAACGTCATCCTGATATGGCAAGGTTGAGGTTCCAGGTTCCATTACTGGTCAGGGCACATACAACAATCAACCAATGAATGCATAAATAAGTGGAACAACAAATGGCTGTCTCTCTCTCAAATCTGTAGACAAAAAATATTAAAGCAAAAGTTTTCCATAGACATCAGGAATAAGCTATTTTGAACAGTATTGTTGCCCTGACCAGTGTGGCTCTGTTGGTTGGGCATCATCTTTCAAAGTGAAAGGGCTCTCATTCAGTTCTTTGTCAGTGCACATGTTTAGGTTGCTGGTTGGTCTGATCCTGTCAGGGCGATTATAAGAAGCAACTTGTTGATGTTTTTCTCTTTATCTTTCTCCCTCCCTTCTCCTCTCTAGTAATAAATAAAATCTTTAAAAAACAAACAAACAGTAGCTTCTTGTAGTATTATTTAGTTATTTTAATATGGAAATAACTAATATGGAAAATGCCAGGGGATTGCTAAGTGATGTGGAGGAGAGTTGTAACTGCTTTGTGCTCTTGAGAATTTTTATTTTAGGTCAGTAGAAGATGGGAAGGAACTGGACACACCTGCTAGCTGAACTGGCAGACTTTTGTGGGCAGAATTTAAAATAAAAAAATTTTCACATTTGGTTCTCTTCATGTAGACCCTGATAAAAGCTAGCCTGTGAGACACCAATGAAGTTCCTCAATAAATCTTAAACCAGAGTCTTTTAATTTGCTTAGAAAAATGAGCTGGTTTTAAAATGGGTATGTTTTCACTCCTTTTTCATCTTCAAGAAGACAGAGGTTTATATATATATGAAATGTTCTAAGCTTCATATAAGAAAGGTCTATTTAAGTTTAAAGTATTTTGTAGTAGTGTTTTAATTATAGTAGCACTTGGGGGGGAACTAAGAGGTATTGTAGTGTGATTTAGATATGTAATATTAGTTGCCAGAATTCTGTGGGCAAAAATGACATTGTGGGTAATAGCTTGCCTTCCCTCAGCCCCTTTTACTTTTTTCTTAAGTGAGCCCCACTGCGCCTAAGCAAATATCCTACAGTCCTTAGCATATTACATCTCAGCAGTGTTATGCCCCTAATGTTGGCATTAGTAATTGAAGTGTTGATGCAACCTGCCAGTTTTATGCCTTGGCATGGCAGTTGCAGAGAGTTTTTCTATTAGGTGTATGGCTTGAACAAGACTTAAGATGTTTGCTTCCTGCTTTTACTGAAACCTGCTAAGGAAGTGGTTAGCATGGGTTTAATTGGATGTAGTTGTCTTGTGTCTGAGCTGGGCTGGAGCTATGTGTGTGTTCTGGTGTTCTTTTTTGCTTATGATTTAATGTATTCCCTCTCTTCCCACCACCAACTTCCAGGTACATACCTTCCCAATAAGCCCGCCCCCCTCCCCATCCCTTAATTTCTACAACAGGAGAAGCAGGAGTTTCAGACAGGGTGGGTAGATGTATGCAGCTGATCATCATGCAAACCTAAATCTATTCACGGTTATGAAGTAGTGGAGTTGATTACTCTGAGAAAAGAAGGGCGAGGCATAGAGGCCTGGGGAGCATCTTTTTACTGTTGAGTGTTTCCCAGTGACAATTGGAGGTCCGAGGTAGTCTGGGAGGTACTGCCTTAAATGAGGGTCTCTTTTAGTATCCAGGCGGAGGGTGGGCGGGGGAGTGGAAAAAGGGGTGCGGTATCACCTGGTCCAGCTATGGGATACTAGGCTCCCGGCTTTGGAGTGGGGATCTAGAGAGATGGGGGCAGCTCTAACAAAGAGGAGCCGCGCTGGGGCCGGGGCCGCGGGTAACTGGCCTATCCCCGGCGGCTGACCTCCCAGTGGGCCTCCCCAGTTGGCTGCTTGGCGAGTCGCTCTGCTGGCTTCCTGGCTCGCCATTGGCTTGAGGACAGGAGGGGGAACTCGGAGGGCCGGGACGGAGTTGAGGGGGCGGGGCTGGCTTCCGGCGGCGAAGGGGAGCTAGCGGCAGCCGGCTGGGGGAGGGGGTGTCGGCGCACCGCAGAGTGCTGCGCTCTGAGAGCCTGGCACCCGGACCAGCCGCCTCTCCCCCGGAGCAGACGCCTCCCCTCGCCTGCCCCCCCCCCCCCCCCCCACCGCCAGGACCTCTAGAAGCCCCTTCTCTTTCATTCTCTTGGGGCGGGGCAAGGAGAGTTGAGCTGCCCCTGGCGGGCGGGGCGGAGTCCGGAGCCCCACCGAGCGCTGCGGAGCGAACCTCACCTCTCTTCCAGGGCTCAAGGTGTGTGTGTGCTTTTTCTAACGTTACCCTGACTTCTGCCGACTTAACCTTGAGGGGAATGGAATGTGAAGTAAGAGCTCCACATCCTGTCAGTTTATTTTGATTTTCTAATTCTACCTACCCTTCATTCTTCTTTCCCTCCTTCATCTCACCCCTGCAGCAGGGTAAGGAGATTCAGGACTCATCTCTTTTTACTGATGCGTCGATGTCGGTCGCGTAGTGAAATAATAGAAGAAAAGAGGAGCCCTTTCTTATTGGCATCTGACGCAGTAAACTGCAAAAAAGGGGGGAAAAGGCTAGGAATAGGTTTTTGGAACTGTTCTACATTTTGTCCATTAAAACTGCCTTCACCGTTTTCCCTCTCGGGACTGCCTTAATCAGCAAAAACTATCTGAAAAGGAAGAAGGTGCTAGTGGAAGGAGGGCGAGCCCCCTGGCTAAAGGAAATCCTGCTAGTTGTTAGCGATTAACTCCACTAAAGTCTCTTCCCGAGTACATTTTCAGCGGTTTTGTGTAGGACCAAGCCCTGCTGTAGAATCCTAGCTAGAGCGAGCAAACTTACCTTGCTGTTACTGAAACTTAAAAGTCTTAATCTGTTTTTTCCACTGGTCTGTTTCTTATATCCATAGGTTTTTCAGAGGAATTAGTTTTTGGTCGTCAAAAACCAAAACCAAACTTTAAAAAGTATCCAGATGAATTTTAATTCGTTTATTTTTTTTAACCCCAGCTTGCAACTTTATGAATTTGAGTGGCAGTAGCATTACAATTTGAATTCTGTTTTTCTGTTTTGAGTTCCTTTGCTTCTATAACTTTCTGGTTCCTTCTTTCTGAAGGACACATAGCTATCTTCAGCAAAAGTCAGTAACCTCTTTATAGGTTTTTAATGGAGAGGAAAGTTATCAGCTGATAGGAAACCCCAAATTTATAATAGAAACAAGGGGTTGTGTGCGCGTATGTGTTGCACCTATGTTTGTGTTGAGTGGCATTTTCATGGCAAACTTTTAAAAATTTGTGTTGTATTTTATTATTTAAAAAAAAATATTTATGGGCTCTTTATTCAGATGGCTGGCAATCTGAAAACACAGTGGGTTTTTACCCTAACAGACCATCTTAAATTCTGTTTTCAACCAACCTCTTTTGTAAGGATAAGAAAAGTATAGGTAAGGGGATTGGAATTTAGGGGAAAGTTAATCAGATAAAAAAGCTGCCACATTCTTTCATCTGTGCCCTGGACGGTGGTCTTTATCAGTGTCCTGGGTAGTGGATGTCTCACCCTGGAGTACAAGGGCTCAGATGCCATCTTGATTGCTTGAGACCTCCTGAGGTCTCACAAAGGTGGGACTGCTTATGATCTCCTGGAGTCAAAGTGGGTCATACCTTCAGTTCTTGAAACAACGACAGAGAGTGCCAAAGGCGCAGAGTCCCTGGAATAGGAAACTGGAAAAGCCAGTGTTCATGCTGCCTGTCACCTACCAGATCAAACAAGCAGAGACAGGGATTGAATCGTTATGGGCTCTTTATTCAGATGGTCAGTGATCTGAGAAGACGGTGGGTTTGTACCCTAAGAGACCATCTTAAATTCCATTTTCAGCCAACCCTTTTTATGAGAAGAAAAGTGCAGGGAGGGGATTGGAATTCAGGGGAGAAGTTAATCAGATAAAAAGCTGCAGCATTCTTTCATCTCTCTGTATTTTATTGTTTATGCTATTACAGTTGTCTTCTCTTTTTCCTCCTTTGCCCACTTTCACTCAGCGCCACCCCCCTTTCCCTCGTGGTAAACTTGTTTTAACTGGGCATTTTACCAAAGATGTTTGGACCAGATTTATGTTAATGTTGATTAGCTAGAATGCCGGAAGGGATAAACATTAATTTTGGGGCAACACTTTAGTTTAAAAAAATGTTTGGAAAGTCTAATTGGCTTTATTAAGCAATTCATGAATTGGGCTGCATCCTAGCTAGCAACTAGAAGGGCATTCCTGGGTAAATATTAATTGAAGTAATTGAGAGTTCATTCTTGAAATCCAGGCTCAGTTTCCAGAGATTGTTTTAACTGGAGTTCAGTGTTGACAGAATTGGTATGCCGGAGCTGTTTTACAGTTTTAGCTGAATTAGTGGGGGTTTTTTTTCCCCCCAAAACTTTGGTTCTCAACAACACTTTCATGCTCACACAGTATTTCTTTCTCTTTTTTTTTTTTTTTTTTAAGATTTTATTTATTTATCTTTAGAGGGGAAGGGAAGGAGAGAGGGAGAGAAACATCAATGTATGGTTGCCTTTCGCACATCCCCTGCTGGGAACTGACCTGCAGGGAACCGGCCTTCAACCCACAGGCATGTGCCCTGACTGGGAATCGAACCGCCAGTCCTGCACTCAGTCCACTGAGCTACACCAGCCAGGGCGAATCAGTGTTGGTTTTTTTTTCTTTGCATTGATTTATTGTCTCTCTCACCAATAAGGAGTGGTTTGGGGTGAAAGCAAGTATTATAAAGAATAGGGACGATGAAACGGGACCACCTCAGTTGTGGAAACTTGTTAGGGATCAGAAAACTTAATATACTTTTTTTAATTCTTAAGTAGACAGTGTAGAATTGTGCAAAAAAGTAGATTCACAGGAAACCTTTCTTGGGTTTGGTGTTTTTATTTCATTACCCATTTATTCGTTGAGACTCCATGAATAATGTTTAAATTGAAAGGCAAAGAGGATTTCTTACCCAGAGGTTACTGATAGTGAACTATTAAAAATCACTGATTGAAGCTTTGACAGTTAACCTAGTACAAAATGAAATGTATTTTGGATAAGCTATAGCAAGCCAAGGGAGTGACAGAAAAAAACACATATTAAAGCATATACCACCAGTTTATCTTGCTTTTACCAGAAAACAAGTTGTCTTCCTATTTGATATCCCAGGTGGTTTTTTCTTTGTCTACCCATGGATGAGCAGTTAGTACAGCTTTATAAAGTTATATTACACTTTGCTCACTTAATTTTTTAATATTTCTGTTGTCTTGACTGATTTTTGTAATCAGTATTTTTTATGGTACAGTGATTTCCCCAAAGAACTTTCCCCAGGAGACAAAAGGCTATATATAGAACTAATCATAGGTATATCTATCTACACTGGTCTCCAAATATCATTTAAGGGAGATGGAAATCCTTAGATTTAGTCCCCTGTTTTCTTAAACATGAAACTATGACTTATGAGCAGACATGGTGCTACTGTGAGGATAAAGTAGCTGATTTAATTTTCTTAGCAGTCTGTTTTTATTGATTCTGCTCATTTTTGTGAAACACAGCTTTGAGTGTGTTAAGGAAAAGGGCCCTATGTTTTCCTAAAGGGAGACTCAAGCTCAATCCCCCATTCACATAAGATGTATAAAATGATCCCCTTGAGAAGGTGAAGGCAAGATTGAGTCCTTGGCTTTGTTTTGAGTCTCATAATAATAAGCTTGAGTGTTGTCATGTTTGGAATTGGGTAAAGCTTACTCAAGGTGAAAACATATTAGAGGCAAAAAGACCTGAGAATGTTGCTTATAAGAGGTTTATTTGGAGGAGATGAATGCATTCATACGGAGATGCACTGGTGGTAGATTTTAGCTTTTCAGCTTAGTCAGATGTCTGAGACAATATTTTGTGTGTGTTTAAGCATAACCCCCGTCCCAGGGGTTGACTCTTGGCAGCTGAATCTTTTGAGGAAGTTGTTTGCTGTGAGTCTGAATCCAGAGGGTAGAGGACTTGGTGGAGTCTGTTATCTGTTTATGACCCAGATAAGGACTTGGAGTTGGTTGCTGGTGAATTACTGAACTCTTCCTAATGAATGGTTGCTAGGCAAAGTGCATCTCAATCAGTTTAATCCTCAATAGTTTACAGGTCTGCTGCTGCTGATGGCCAGAGCTGCCTTAATGATACTGCCCTTTAAGAATCCTTTCAGATGTGCATGTGTGTTATGTTGCTCAGTGGCTGGGGGAAAAAAAGGACTGGACAATTTAGGGAGATCACTTCATCCATCTACTTACCTTTTGGTAACCTGGATCAGCATTATCATTAACATTTCTCCTGCATCAAGTGGTGATGGTGGGGGTAGCTTTCCAATATTAAGACACCACTCTGTTTGATTACCTTTGGTTTTGTAACTAGTAAGGTTGTGAACGAACACATTCATTGTTAGTTGGAAACAGGCCAGTGATAAAACTGCCCTTGGGCCTGGATGGATAGAAAAATAGGACAGAGTAAACAATTGGGGGCATAAATAATGAATCTTCCAGCTGAGCCTTGGGAGAGTGAAGGAGATAATCCTTAGAGCTGTTCAATCTGTCAGTGAAAGGGAGGGTCCACTGAATTAATTACCCTCACTGTGTTTGATACTGCACTTATTATGGGATTGTTAGAGCTATTCAAAACACAATTGTTTTTTAGATACAGGCTTTTAACCCATCTTTTTGTTTATTTTGCTGGGTTTTTTAAAAAGATTTTATTTATTTTCAGAGGGAAGGGAGGGAGAAAGAGTGGGAGAGAAATAGTGATGTGAGAAAGAAATATCTATCATGCTCCTGACTAGGGACCAAACCCACAATTCAGGCATGTGCCCTGACTAGGAATCGAACCCGTGGCCCCTTGGGCTATGGGACAATGCTTCAACTGAGCCAAAGCAGGCAGGGCCAGATCTTAGATTTTTAAAAAGATTTTATTTATTTATCTTTAGAGGGGAAGGGAAGGAGAGAAGGAGGGAGATATCAATGAATGGTTGCCTCTTGTGGGTCCCCTGCTGGAAACTGGCCTGCAACCCAGGCATGTAACCTCACTGGGAATTGAACCACAATCTTTTGGTTTGCAGGCCTGCGCTCAGTCCACTGAGCTACATCAGCCAGGGCTCAGATCTTAGAATTTTTATTAGAGATTTCATTATTTGTAAATACATATGGGAGTGAAATTTTAAAAAGAGAAAGCCTAATCCCAGTTTAAAGGAATTCTTTGGTATCTTGAATACCTAGTATACTCTGAAAGT